CACCCTATGGACCCCCAACCCATTGCATTTTGTGCCACGCCAAACCGAAATCCACATTGCCACACCGGACTCCCCCACCCTGTCAAAAATACCCGTTAAGCTTGATTTGCTATCCCATATGTTTATTATTTGACATCCAATTTTATTGTATTATCTTCATACTTTTTTTGATTTAACTAATTTTTTGAATACCACTTTGTTAATTAGGGTTTGTTTCCTGAAGCGAAGCGTGTAAAGTTTAATGATTTTTTATTTTTATATGTTTGGCCAAACCGTTGGGGTTTTTATTGATCTTATTTTTATTTTCCCGGTTCTCAAATAAAATTTTAATCTACTTTTCAAGTTTATGATATTGATTGGTAATGTGGAATTTTTTCTGAACACAAATTCATTTTTTTCCAAGTAATTAAATTCAATGCGTGAACTTATAGAAATTGCAATGGGTGACGGTGGGTAAGTGTTTTGGAGTTTACGGATTTGTTTGTAATTATTTCAATATTTTAATTTATATTTTCATTTTGTTTGCGAGTGTGTAAGTTGTATAGGGATAATCCTTCCACACGATAGAGATTTTCCGCCTTTCCTTTTCCCCACGGTTCAACTTCAATATCTAGCCCACCCCCAAACAGAGAAATAGATGTGACATGCAATGCGGGACAAAACCTAATTTCTATGTTCCTATTTTAAGTATGGGGGATCCATGGATTACCCCCCTCTCCCTCTTTGATACTCTTTGGTCGAACCCAGGTTGACCCTGAAACAACTCTTCTGATCAATTGCGTGGAACGATGCTGTGGGGTGGCATTGGCGGCATGCTCCACCTCTGTGGGGCTCGATGGGCATTTGCGTCCCGAAGCTCTGAATCTTGAGGTCTGGAATATCATGCCGAGGGAAAAACAAATCAATCAAACGGGCTTTAAAGGGGCTGCGTTGAGGCGCGTCGAGCTAGTGAGGCGGCGCGGCGCTGCGTGGAGTGGAGTGTGAAGACTCGGCAAGCAGCCTGCGTTGTGAGTTTCCATCCCCATCGTGTGTGCGGGGGTCGCTGGCGCGCTCACCGCAGGCTCGTTGCCTGGCCTTTGCTCTTTTTTTTTTTGATATGATGCGTGTGTGGGGGGAGAGGGGGGGGCCATCTTGTAGTGCCGTTCGAATTCCAGCGCGAGTTCGTCTGTCCAGTGGATAAAAAAAAGAGGAGGACTACAAGGGCGTGTGTCTTGAAGACTTGATGGGGCACGAAGTGTTTTTTGGTTTCAATCCAACCATTCACCCCCAACAGCAACACCACCGTTGTCACGCGTTTCTGTTCACCTTGTCTTTCCCCAAGGGCGATGGAGGGTGAAGCAAAACGAGTGCGGTAGTAGTGTTTGTTTGTAGAGATGTAA